TTTGCATCAGGTAGTCAAAAGTATGGGAACTTCAGCTTCAGCATCATCAGTCCTTCCAATGAATATTCAGAGTTGATTTCCTTTAGGACTGACTAGTTTGATCGTGTTACAGTCTGAGGGACTCTCTGTCTGGGTGGCCCTGCACAGCATGGCTTATAGTGTCATTGAGTTATGTAAGCCCCTTCATCACAAGACTGTGATCTATGAAAGGGTACATAATTTGAGAAAACTTCAGAAAGCTGAGATGGGATTGCCCTTCTGTGACATCCTGCAGACATTTCATCATCCACTCCCTGGTCTGCAGTTTACTTTTAGTATTCTGGAGTCTGATATTTTATTTTTTCTTCACTTTCCCTCTTCCTCTTTGCCCCAGAAACTTCTTAAAAGGATTTTCATATCCACGCTGAATGGCCTGCCCTCTGCTCCCCCGTCTCATGGACCTTGTGAAATGTATCACTTAGGCCACCATAGGCTCTTAGTCGCTCCACGTGGGGGACGTCCCCCCCCAGTCCCCATCTTAGTGGACGGCTCTATAGCACATGGCCCCCACCTGCCCCTGCTCTGACCATCTCCCTGGAATGAGGGCCCAGCCCTTCTCCTCCACCAGCACCGGGCCGTCTCCGCTCCCGGCTCATCTGTAAGCCCTGTGTCCTTCTGCCTCCATGCTACCTCTACAGTGCTTCCCACGACTGTCATTCAATCCGATCCTTTCTTCTCCTGAGACTTCTGATCAGCTCTGAGCAGATTCTCTGGTCAATAGCCTCTCCCACAGGCTCCTGCATACCCCCTTCCTCCACAGTTAAGAGTGCCGAGTTACACAGGCTCTCCTTGACACCCTGCACTGGCTGCCTCGGGGACACAGGGCTCTGGCCACACTGGGCAGCTCCCCCCGTCACTGGAACTCCCTGCCTGGCCAAGAAAGAAGGGTACAGGGCAGACCCACTGCGTCTCCTGCACCCCTGGGAAGAGGACCCCCCCCTTACACATCCTGCATGTGCTAAGAGCTCAATAACACGTGTAGAAGTCAGGGCGGAAGGAAGAAGAGAGGCAGGGAGGGAGGAAGAGGGAACCCACCCACCATCTTTGCACTAGACCAAAAAGGGAGCAACACCCCCCTGGAATGACGCAGGGGAAGCATGCGCTGCCCATGAGTCAGAAAACAGGCAGAGGGGAGCCATCCCTGGGGCTGGAGATAGCTGAGACTTGCCCGGGAGAAGGTGGACCATTGCTTAAGGCGTGGGACAAAGGCTTACAGCTGGAGGGGGCAGGAGGTCCGAGGGAGTGGGGAGCAGGAGCTGGACTGGAGACGGAGCACTTCAACGCCACAGGGAATTCTGGGTCAGCATCACCCCCCTTATCCAGAGGAAACAGCAAAGATTTCAAAGATGGTTTTGATTTTGAAATCGATTTGTAATAAAATTCAATATATCCTTTTATTTGTTATTTGTTGCTTTTTCCTTGCTGCTTTTAATATACTGACACATATATGTGGAGTCTAGAAAAATGATACAGATGAACTTTCTGCAAACCAGAAATACAGATGCAGACACAGAGAACAAATGTATGGACACCAAGGGAAGAAATGGGGTGGGAGGAACTGGGAAACTGGGACTGACATAGACATACTATCGGTACTATGTATAAAATAGATGACTAATGAGCACCTACTGTACAGACAGGGAACTCTATTCAAAATTCTCTGAGGTGACCTAAATGGGAAGGAAATCTGAAAAAGACTCCATACAGCTGACTCACTTTGCTGTGCCACAGAAACTAACAGCATTGTGAAGCAACAAAACACCGATAAAGAAAAATTATCCTTTTAGAAAATATCTACAGTCACTGATTTATTCCACCATGCTATTTCTCAGGTGAATTTTCCACATAAAATAAGATGATTAACTCCCCCAGGAAATGAAGAAGCGCCTCCCGCCCCCCTGCCTTTATTATGTATGAAATTTCCCAGACTTGCTGACATCGTCTCCATAGCAGCTTCCAGCTGATGTGCAGAGGTGTAGCGGTGCACTGAGGTGCCCAGGGTACTGCCTGACCCAGGGCAGTCACGGAGGGGTGGGGTGACCGGAAGCTGCGCCCAGTCACCCCCTCCATCACTCCAGGACAGGTGCAGCGAGAGTGAAAACAGGGCATCGCTTTCTACGATGCTCCCCGAAACAGCGAGCCATCATGAACGCCCCAAGCAGAGCCGCCATTGCTTCTTGGGGGTAACATCCGGGAACCAGCGCGTCACAGCACAACTGGGTGGTCCACGGACCACAGCTGCAGGCTCATTAAAGATAAGGTAAAAATGAAAATCTGAAGCATAGAGCAATTTCCTACTAGATCCAGAAAGACAGACCTCAACATGAGCTAAATTAAGGACAGAGACGAAGTATCAGAGTTTACCATGAACGTCCTGGCCCCAAGGAAAGCCCCACTTCCGGGAAGGACGGACTTCATCCATGGTGCCTTCCTGTCACTGTGAGAAATTGCAATCCCAGTGCAGACAGAGGAAAAGAGACATGGTAGGGGTAGGGTGCTGTCATAAGAACCAGAGGGGTGTCCTCAAGGCCCAGAGTCCCCATACAGGGGGAGGGGACATTTGCTTCTACCTTGTAGCCACAGAGAATCTATTACTATTAAGGCCTTCTTATTCTTGAGGAATTTCCTTCTTGTTTCTGAGGAATTCCCCCTCATTGTGAAGCTTGTCTTCCAGGACAGAAGCCAGGCATGCAGGGGCTGAGGTGGCATACAGCGGACACACACGCGGCAGGCACACACAGAAGATGCAGGAAGACACACGAGTGTCTGGGCTGTACTCTCCACACAGGGCCTACAGGGGGCCTTGCTGCGTGGGGTTCAGGGGGTTTCTAGCCACAGTAAGCTCCAAGCCTGACTCCCCGGCACGCCCCCAGCCCCATCCCATACCGTGGGGGCCCTTAGCATGCCCACAGGCATACAGCCCTGGCCACTCTGCAGACCAGGCAGGCCCTCAGGAGTGGAGTATGCAGAGGACCACCAGGAAAGAGGCCTGCGTCCACCCTGGACTCCGAGGGCAGGCTATCTGGGCAGGGAGCTCCAGGGCTCTTGGGTTCTGGACCATCCTCTAAGCTCCAAGACTCCTGGCCATGCTGAGGCCTGTGGCCGGCTGATAAGCAGGGCAGAATCCTCCAAAGTACGGGGTCTGGGGGACTTCCCTGGTGGTCCAGGGGTTGAGGGGCTTCCCAAGTGGCTCAGCGGTAAAGAATATGCCAGCTAATGCAGAAGATGTGGGAGACACAGGTTTAACCCCTAGATGGGAAGATCTCCTGGAGAAGGAAATGGCAACCCACTCCAGTATTCTTGCCCGGAGAATCCCGAGGACAGAGCAGCCTGGTGGGCTACAGTCCTTGGAATCACAAAGAGTCAGACATGCCCAAGCACTCACACCACACCAGTGGTTAAGCCTCTGTGCTCCCACTGCGGTGGGGCACAGTTTCAATTCCTGGTCGGGGAACTAAGATCCCACATGCCACACAACCAAAACCAAACAAACAAAAAATATAGGGCCAGGGTGGGATCTGTCTTATCCGAGTTTAAGGGAAGTTTCTGCAGAAACCCAAGGAGACATACTGTGGCCCTAAGGATCCCCTCCCTCTTCCAGGGACCTGAAGTAGCAGAGCCCCGCCTCTCAATACAGAAGGCAAGTGAAGTGAAAGTCGCTCACTCGTGTCTGACTCTGTGACCCCATGGACTATACAGTCCATGAAATTCCCCAGGCCAGAATATTGGAGTGGGTTGTCATTCCTTTCTCCAGGGGATCTTCCCAACCTAAATTGAACCCATATCTCCCACATTGCAGACAGATTCTTTACCAGCTGAGCCATAAGAAGGAAATCCTGATGGTACTTCCCATGTTTCCGTTTCATGCCAACTCACTCTCCACACTGAGTGTCTCCCTGCACAGACACAGATGGAATCATTTAATATGACTTCTCACTTCTCTAACAGACACAGCCTACATATATGGCTGACATACTGGAGAAATACTCAGAGAATGACGCTCTAACTAACTCACCTATAACAAAAAGAGACAGTGTATTAGTCCCCAGGGAAAGCAAAGACTATAAAGCGGATTCTTTAGCTTATGAAATGTCACCACCCAAGTGCTCTGTGGAAAAGTAGTGGAAACATGCATGGGGAATGGATTATGGTATTAAAACGAAGCCCATAATGAGGACCTTCACCTCTGACAAGCATTCAGCCAGCCATTAAACAGTCAATATCCAGACTAAAAATGTCAGTTTTAAAGACAAGGCAATAAAAGAACTTATAAAGCCAGAGAACTACATGATGGTGGAAAATACTTTAGAATTCTATGTTTACACAAGTCTTTGTTTCTTAAACTAGAGCCACAAAACCCCAGAGAGAAACTGCCAACAGCCAGGGAGCTCAGTGTCTATCTTCCTGCAGCAATAATTCATGAGGATTTTCTGGGGGGGAGTTTTTATATTAATATAAAATGAATTACATTCATTATTTTATATTAATATAAAATTGTATGTTTATATAATACATATTTACATTAATACAAAATGTTATATTAATGTAAAATAATAAATTAAATGTTATTTAAATATTTATTTAAATATACTAAAAACTTTTATATTAACATGTATCAATATCTTATATTAATATAAACATTTATATTAATATAAAATTAATTACAAATTATTTTATGTTAGCAATTTTTTATATTAGCGGATACAGGACTATGTCATGAAGCAGAAAGAAAAGTCTCCAAGAGATAAAACACGAGACAGAAAACCATCCCTTAAGGTGACATCATGGCATGCTCAGCCGAGCATCCACTCCTGACTTTCCAAGAGGAACGTTTTGGAGGTAATATCTGAGAGGCATTGTCCTGGGCAAGCACCACAGTCACCTCTACTGAGTCCCCCTGACACCCCAAAAGGCTGGAGACTAACTCCAAGGACAGAGAGGACCCCAGGCGGGCTCTGCACCTGGAAGGAGAACTTGGACGTGTCGGCCTGGGGGTGACCACAGTGTGCTCCCGAGTGACACGACTGCTCCCGCTCTGCAGAGATGAACAACACATCCTAAACCTCGACCACATGACCACATGAGAAAGAGCCTTCCATGACTCTGACCAAACAAAACCATCCCACCAGAAGCGGCAGGAATATACATCCTCCCCCAAAACCCCAAAGTCCAAACCCCCCCGAGGTACTGGCAAGCTTCCTATCAGCAGGCAGATCCAAAAATGTAGCTCATAGAACTGACTCAGTTACCCAAACAAATGGGGAAAGGAAAGTTTTTGGTTTTTATCGTAAGGATATCACAAACAGGACATGAAGATAAAGTAAAAATAGCCATAGAGGTTTCCAGTTGCTAGGAATTCTAAGCTTTCAGCTCTTACACAGCACCATATTGGTGGTGTCACACGGATTTTCAGGGAAGAGGTGAAATGAGGCAGGGAGGGAAGTGATTCCTGTCACAAGTGGGCTACAGACAGGAATGCCCTTGACCGCCAGGCTGGCGTTTGGCAAGGTCTCCACTCTGCCTTCCTCGGGCTCCTGGACGAGAGAAACCAGACTGAGTGATGGAAGTGAGCCTGGTCTCCATCCCTGGTGCCTTTTTAATCTATTGACCAGGGACTTCTGCAGAAACTAATGCCTCTGGCCAGCAGATTGTTATGTAAGTGAATATTGAAAGGTCTCCAGTCAATAACATCTGGGTAGCAAAAGGCGTTTCACTGTGTCTCTGGTCAATAATGTGTTAAGCACACTGCCTCGCTCCTTCCAGCATCTTATCCTGCAGCACAGCCCCAACCCAGACTCTTGCCAAAAGCTCTGAGACCGATTGCGGCCAAGACAAGACTTGCATAGTCAACAGAGAGAGAGAAGATGCCTGGAGCACTGGCTCCTGCTCAGGTGAGAACAGTCCCGCTTCCCAGAGTGGGGTCCACAGATGAGTCTCTTGAGTCTCTGCAAGAATTTTTCAGTGTCTTCACTCCTGGGGTTTTATTCTTACTGAAGTAAAACATGCATACAGTGAAACATACAACAAATCTTAAGTCTACAATCCCATGAACCAGGACAACTGCAAACACCAAAATCACCCCCATCAGGATACAGACATTTCCATTTCCATCTCCTCTGCAGTTCCTGTGAGCCTCTCAGCAGTCACCTCCCGGTAATGCATGTGGCCCCACCAGGCTGATTTCTGTCATCTCCTCTACAGCCTTCTGACAGTTAGTGTGTGTGCACCCCGATGGCCAGCTAATACCTGCTAGTATTCTTGTTTAGTCACTAGGTTGTGTTCAACTCTTCTGCCACCCCATGTAGAGTAGCCTGCCAGGCTCCTCTGTCCATGGCATTCTCCAAGCAAGAATACTGCAGTGGGTTGCCAAGTTCTTCTCCAGGGGATCTTCCTGACCCAGGGATCAAACCCTTGTCTCCTGCATTGGCAGGCAGGTTCTCTACCACTGAGTCACCTGGGAAGCTCCTGCTGCCATCCGTGCCTTGCTGTTTCAGGGCGCACACCTGCTTTAGTGCTTTCATTACTTACTAGCAACCGATGCAGCAAAAGCAGTGGTTCTCAATGGGGCCAGCACGCATCTCAAGGGAGCATTTTGGAAACTGTGGGGAAGGGGACTCTCTGGGTGGTCATTTAGTGGCAGAGACCATGGATGCCACACGTCTGGAATAGTACCCTCCCACCCAACAGTGAAGACCTGGCCCTCATCCTGCTTAAATTCCAGGCTCCCACAGACCTTGATGCTGACAAAAGCATCATTTACCACTTTGGGAGCCTGGCGCCCCTACTCCATCCTCCACTGGGATAAAATACATTTTGCTGGCACAATTTCATAGATAATGAATTTTCCTGGAATGCAATCACTGTGAAAACGGAGGGAAGACTGGCCTTCCATCACCACTCAGACCTTGATCACGGGTCAGTCCTCACCTAGGGGTGCATGGATCTCTGCCACACTGTGTCTGCTCCAGGCTACATGGGCAGGCATCCTGTAACCCTGCAATCAGTCTGCATAAAGCACCATTAACTTCATCAGACTGGCTGGGCCCTACACAAGCATCCATACACCAAAATACATCATTCTAACCCAAATTACTTATTTCTTACATATACTACCATGTTATTTGGGAATTATGTTGTAGCTAAGTTTTATTATATCAACTCAGAATTGTAAGGGGGGGGTTTAAAATATTTTCATGAAAAGGGAGTATTCGTTTAGACCATGAAATTTCCGCACCTTGTTTTATGTCCCTGGACATGTTCCAGTGTCTCCTGATTTATAGTCTATGGGAACTTGAATAGAATTTGTATGCTGCTGTTGTGTGAAAACTGTATAAATCTTAATTTGTTAAATTGGTTCCTAGTGTTTTACAAGCCTACTTTTCCTTCTAATTTTCTATTCATTCTATTAATTTTTGAGAATTTGATATTGAAACTCCAACTAAAAATATTAATTTATCTACTTAAAAATAACTGTAATTTATAGTGCAACTATATGTAATTTTGTTCTGTATTTTCCAAGTCTCCTGTCACTGTGTTATCATACTTTCATAATTTAAAAAAGAAAAAAGAAAAAAGGGGGGGGGGGATATTGGGTTTTGAGTGAGGTGAGAAGCACCAGTCTAAAGTGATAACATCTGACTCAATTTAACTCTTGGTCAGGAGCCATTGGCTGTATTTTCAGGGGTCCATGAGTTCCCTAGGGGCCCAGATGGTAAAGAATCTGCAGTGCACAAAACCTGGGTTCGATCTCTGGGTTGGGAAGATTTCTTGGACTAGGGCATGACAATGCATGCCAGTATTCTTGCCTGGAGAATCCCATGGACAGAGGAGCCTGGTGGGCTACAGTCCATGGGGTTGCAAAAGCCAGACACCATTGACTGACACTTCCACCTCATGAGTTCTCTGGTTTGGGAAGCCAGCTGTGTGGAGCCTGGAATGTCAAGCTGCTCCTCCATCAACAGCACCCTGAGTCCCAGTGAAACCCAGCTACCAGACAGCACCGTAGTGGGGGTCATTTGAGAAATGGCCTGAAACTTGCTCTTTGTACCTCTTAAATGATGGCTGTCAGGAGCGAGTGCCTGCTTCCACCAGGAATGCTTTTGCATCTCCTGAGTGCTTCTTTCTCATCTTGAAGACACGGGAGGCTGTGCTATGCCAGGTGTCCTCTTTTCCACTGCCTGCAGGAAAATGTGTTGGTGTTGTCGACCTCAGCTACTCATTAGAACCACGCTGGGGACTCTAGGAACATGAGTGCCCTGGGCACACTCCGAGGTGCATGTTAGTTTGCTCTGCAGTCCCCTCCATCAGTGCTGAGAAGCCGGCAGGACGGAGCACTGTGCTTTCTTTTGTTCCTGCAGCCCCACTGGGGTCACCCAATAAGGTGCGCACTGAAAGAGGTCAAAGTGTCAGTCACTCAGTTGGACCCAACTCTGTGACCCCACGGACTGCAGCCCACCATGCTCCTCTGTCCACGGGACTTCCCAGGTGAGAAGACTGGGGTGGGTTCCCCTTGTCTTCTCCCAGGGGATCTTCCCAACCCAGGGCCTGAACCCAGATCTCCTGCATTGCAGGCCAGTTCTTCACCGTCTGAGCTACCAGGGAAGGCCCTAAGGTACACACTAGTACCTATAAAGTAAACAACAATGACCTACTTATACCCACAGCAAACTTTATTCAGTATCCTGTGATAAACCATAATGAGTGCAGGACAGGGGAGAAGATTCAAGAAGGACAGCACATATATATCCTTACGGCTGATTCATGCTGTTATATCGCAGAAGACAACACAACACTATAAAGCAATTATCCTCCAGTTAAAAAATAAATTTAAAAAAACATAATGGGAAAGAATCTGGAAACTGAATAGTTGAATAACTGAATCACTTTGCTGTATACCTGAATTACTGTGAATCAACTATACTTCAATTTTTAAAAGTATATAGTTCATCAAGCTTTACCTTTTATACATTTCTAGATTTCACTTTGTCTCCACTTTAAAATAAATTTTTTTGATGTGTACCATCTTTATTGAATTTATTACAACATTGCTTCTGTTTTATGTTTCCGTTTTTCAGCCCTGTGGCATGTGGGATGTTAGCTCCCCAGACTAGGGATTGAACCTGCACCTCCTGCCTTGGAAGGTGACGTCTTAACCACAGGACCACCAGGGACGTCCTTGTCTCCACTGTTGTTTTGCTTTCTTCTCATTTTTAATTCACGGTGCTGAACTCCAAAGTATGCTAGTGAACCACAACCCTGGGGAAGCTGGCCCCTTCCCACACTCAGTGAGATCACTCTGCAAGTTGCCGCGTGCCACAGCCTCCTGGCTGCAACAGCGCTGCCTGGGGCCCCAGCACGTACTGAGGTTCAAGGGGGGCAAAGCTGCTCACACTGCACATCCTGTCAGCCCACCTGACATCCTGGAAGACAGGAAAACACAGGCAACTGCTGGCTGACAGCAGCAGATGGGGAGCAACAGAGGCAGAGTCCGTGATGACTCCTGTCCTTCAAAGCGGTGTGCTCACATTGAGTTTGTCACGTGTTAACAGCATAAAAATAACCCCTGTGCTTCCCTAACCCCAGTGCTAGGGGAGCTTCACTGCAATTGTCCAGCTTTGCCACTTTGATCGGTGAGATGCTCTCCACAAGCTCTCTGCCTACTTCCAGACAGACACACCTGCCACAGATGCAGCCCAGTCACAGGCTCTCCATCTGTCCCTGTCCAGGAGCATGGCTGAGCCAGAGTGTATCGAGTGATGCCCAGGACAACCACACCTTGTCCACAGGGACAAATCTCCAAGAATCCCACTAGGCAGAGAGACCTCCAATGTCCTCTACTTCACCAAGCAGACTCCTGTCCAATCAAGGACAGCGATTAGCATCCATCTTGTTCACTACTCTATCCTCAGTACTTATTATAGAAGAGTACCCGGCACACAGCAGACACTCGATAAACATTTGTTAAGTAAACTGTTGTTTAGTCATTCAGTCATGTCTGACTCTTTGCGAACCCATGGACTGTAGCCTGCCAGGCTCCCTGTCCCTGGAACTCTCTAGGCAGAATACTGAAGTGGGTTGTCATTCCCTTCTCTGGGGGATCTTCCCCACCCAGAGATAAAACCCAGGTCTCCTTCATCATGGGGAGACTCTTTACCATCTGAGCACCAGGGGGTATGACTACAACATACTAAAGGAAGTACTGAATAGGATATAAAATAGGTAAGAAAGAACCCACCTGCCGATGCAGGAGACACAAGAGACGTGGGTTTGATTCCTGGGTCAGGAAGATCTGCTGGAGAAGGGAATGACAACTCACTTCAGTATTCTTGCTTGGAGAATCCCGTGAACAGAGGAGCCCAGCCGGCTACAGTCCATGGGGTCGCAGAGAGTCAGACACGACTGAGTGCCTTAGCACACAGCATGTGGAGTCCAGAGGTCTCTGCCTCCTTCTGGGTGCCAGCCCTCCACCAAGTTAATCACCCCATCTAAGCTTCTGTTTCCTCCGCTGTAACAGGAGGGTGATAATTGTGTGTCTCTCGGGAGACTGCTGGGAGGATAAGAGCAGTAACTATAAAGGGGTTTATAAACTGTAAAGTGCTGCGCATGCCTGTTGTGAATGAGTGTCATCCTAGTGTCCGAAGCCACACCACTCAGTGTCAACCTTCATCTGCAGGAGCCACAAGTTACCCTTCCCCACGGTGTTTAGGGCATTCATAACTATCTCCTCCAGGAGACAACCCTTTCGAGCCCAAATCCCTAGGAGGGCCACTCCCAAACCAGTTCAACTTGGCCGGATTAAAACGCCTGCAAGCAACTTACAGACACACCCTAGAATAAACCTCCAGAAAGACTGCCAAGTTCCCCAAAGGCAGATTTGAACAGCTTTTACTCCTGGTTCACAGGGGAACAAAAACAACCACCCTCCCCCCAAAAAGACCACCAAAAACAAAACACAGATTAAACCGCCATCACCTCCTTACAAGACAAAATGACAACCAAGAGTAAGAGAAAGGACGCTTGCTTTCTGCGCGCTGTGCAGGGAAAAGGGACGAAGGTGCCAAAGCGACTGTCCCCCTCCTCCCAACCCCAACCTCGCCCCCAGCCCTCCTACCTGGCGCCCGGCGGTCGCGTGCGGGGAGGCCGGGCGGGCGGAGGCGCCCTGGGAGCCGGCGCATCACATCCCCGCGGTCGGGAGCCGGACCCGCGCTCCCCGCCGGCTCCGCCTCGCGCCCGGGGAAGTGCGGGCGCGGCTTTAGCTCGGGCTCCGCCGGGGCGGGGACAGCTCCCACTCCGCCCCACCAGGGAGCCGGGAGACCGCTGGCCCCTTCCGGTGCCGCCCTCCCCTTGGCATCCCCGCGCAGGACCCTGGACTGGACGGCGGCCGCGGGCGCGCCCCTCGGGACAGATAGGGGACGACTCACTGTGATCTCGGCCCCGTGGATGTGCCCCAGCCCCACGGCGGGGCCCCTGGGCATGACTTCCAAACGGAGTTCTCGACCCCAGGGACGCTCATACTCCCATCCCCAAGCCTGACTTTCAGCCAGCCTCAGGCGCTTTGTTGAACTTCTCTGAACCTCCGTTTCCTCTTCCGAGACGTAACAGCACCCACCTTGTGGAGCAGTTGGCGGGGGGTCAAGGCGCTAATGCTCTCAACCTGGGACCTGGGGCAGAGCCGATGCTCCACAAATCACCTGCTGTTTTTATTGCTATTCTTACGCGCTCGGGAGAGAGAACAGTAGTGCCTGTGGTCCAATCTTGATATCAGACTTCTTGGCCAGACCTCGTGGGCTTTTGAGCTTAAAACTCACTTAAGTTCGTTTTGAACTCAGCGGAATGCAATGAATGGGTCACACCTACACCTCCGTGGGGAGGGTGGGCGGAGGGAGGAGGCTGAGGTCCCAGTGCACCCCTTGCTTCCCGTTCCAGTCTGTGCCTCCAGCCAGTGACTGGCCCCCAGCTTGTTTTGAGGACTTCACAGGCCGACCTCCCAGGAGACACGGAGTCAACGATGATTGTTTCCTTCCTAACAGAACGCACCACCCCTTCCTATATCCCTTCCAGCCTGGGCAGACGCTGGTGTCCTTCACCCCTCTCTTGATATTCACATCAGAAACGCAGGAACTGAGCTAACCTCAGCTGCCCCAGATAATTCTGAGATGGAAGAAAGCATAAACCATCCAGCAACCACAGCTCTTCTGCCCTAATGCCTGCCTTGTGACCACAAATGATGATATTTTCTCTTTTTTTTTTCTTTTTCTTTTATCAGGTTCCAGAGTTCATATGGTTCCTCTTTCTCAGAGGAACAAGCTTCTGTCTAGGGCTGGTGATCAAGCATTATGAGAACTCATCTCTTGTCCCATCCCGTAGTGAATTCCTATTTAGATGATGGTTCTCAAAACCCAACTTGCATGTTAGAATCACCGAGAAGATCTGGACCGCTGATGCTCAGATCGGTGTCATCAGAGTCTCTGCGGCTGAGACTCAAATATCAGAGTTTTGAAAGCTCCTGTGCGTGTGTGCTAAGTCACTTCAGTTGTGTCCGACTCTTTCCAACCCCATGGACTGTAGCCTGCCAGGCTCCTCTGTCCATGGAATTTTCCAGGCAAGAATACTGGAGTGGGTTGCCATGCCCTCCTTCAAGGGATCTTCCTGACCCAGGGATCAAACGCTTGTCTCTTAGGTCTCCTGCATTGGCAGGCGATTTCTTTACCACTGGTGCCACTGAAGTCCCTTGGATTACAAGGAGATAAAACCAGCCAATCCTAAAGGAAATCAACCCTGATTTCCTGACTGATGCTGAAGCTCCCAACACTTTGGCCACCTGATGCCAAGAGCCAACTCATTGGAAAAGACCCTAATGCTGGGAAAGATTGAAGGCAGGAGGAGATGGGGACAACAGAGGATGAGATGGTTGGATGGCATCACCAACTCAATGGACTTGAGTTTGAGCAAACTCAAAGTCTGGCATGCTGCAGTCCATGGGGTTGCAAAGAGTCAGAACTACCTAGAGACTGAACAACAGCATGTGTCACCGTAGACCCAGGTGATTGCAACGTGTGTGCAGGATTGCAAACAAGTGTGTGTCCAGACTGCTACACTGCTGCCGATTCTCTGCATCTTTCAATTGAAACTGCTTCATTGCTTGTGTCCGAGTGGCAGTTAATGAAACTGATATGGGGGGAACCAGCTCAACACTGCAGAACTAGCCCAGAAGCGATACAACTGCCTTACTGTTTAGGCAATGGAAGTTTTTAAAGCCATTTACAAGTAGAAAGTAAAATTGATTTGTGCGATCATGTAGAAATAATAATTACATTTTCATTTTTCTTTATGTTGTGATGCCTCCCACAAACCCCTACCCCAGCTGTTCTGCTAGATGCCTGGGCCCCTACACCCATGCGGGACCCTCAAAAAGCCCCCCATTGTCGGGATGAGACCTGAAGGCCTGCCCTTCTCACCTGTGACCACTGTTCTGTTGGGATCCTGAATTCATCATCTCCCACACTCAGCTGTGCTGAATGCCTTCCCTGGCTCCTCCTCCCTCTGTTTCCTAGGTAACAGATGTGTCCACCTGCCCTGCTCCACCCTGGATTGGAGGCTTCAGAAAGTGGAGACTGTCACCTAAGTCACTGTCTGGTCTGGTCTCAGCATCACACAAATGCTGTAGATGCAGCGTATACTTTAGGTCAGAGACCTTTCATGACAATAATGACACATGTAGTGTGACAAAAGTGTGTGGGAAACAGAAACAACAGAACACTTCTGGAGTGTGTGTCCCTCACTACCCTCCCACCCTGAAACTCTCACTTGGGAGACTTGACTGTCTGCTACCCCTGGACCACCTTCCCTTAGAGAGACTGTGCGTTAGTCGCTCAGTCGTGTCCGACTCTTTGCGACCCCATGCACTGTAGCCCAGTAGGCTTCTCTGTCGATGCAATTCTCCAGGCAAGAATACTGGAGTGGGTTGCCATTCCCTTCTCCAGAGGTGCTTCCTAACCCAGGGATCGAACCCTGGTCTCCGGCATCACAGGCAGATTCTTTACCGTTTGAGCCACAGGGAAGTCTAAGAGAGACTGTATTCCCTGAGAATTTTCAGCCTCTCTCCTACCCATCAAGCTCCTCAGATCACGTGACCCTCTTCAGGTGGAACATCTTACAATGCAGGAAAGAAACAGCACCTTGTCAACTGGTACAGCATGCTCTCATGGTCTGAACACAAGACACTGCCCATGGCCAATGAGGCATGACACTTTGAAGGACTGTCCATTGTGAACATTGGACAGACTTGACAGCTCTAAAGAGGGAGCGTTTATGTGCTTGTTTTCTTGACTCCCCAAAGCTCAAGTGTTGGTGAACTCTGAACCTCTCATTATATCATAAACCATCGAGTTCAGAAGGATGTACATTCATGTAAAGGGCGCAAGGTATTTTTCCCACCCAGAGGAGCAGGGTTAAGCAGGAGGTGAGAAGGAAAGCAGAGGAGATGCCTGGTGTTTACTGACCTGGACAGTCGCTGAGAGGTGGCTCAGCACCCATTCTCCTCTGCCACCAAACAAGAGAGAGACCCTGGCCTCCTCCCGAGAGAGGAGGCTTGAGGGGGCCCTGGAAGAAACCAGAATCCCTGGGCTCCCCGAAGTGTAGCCCTGGATACCACCCATGTCGTAGCAAAGTCTGGGGTCCAGCATGGCCAAAGGGCAGCTGGACAACAGAAATGCCGGGCCTGGGCCAGGCTGCCTCGCTACGTCCAGCGTTCAGAGTCCCAGACCCTCCAAAGGGACATGGGGGGGGGGTCTGAGATGAGCTGGCACAGGTGGAGACCATCAGGGCAAGCTCAGTCTCCACTGGGGGATGTAAATCCAGAGAATGACCTTCAGGCAGAACCCTTATCCGGACCCCAGGACAAGCTGAAAGCTTTCCCTACCTCCACCTCCATCACGTCTGAAGAATCCCAGTTGCCATCCAGAGGAAAACGAGCTGCTTGAAGAGGGAAGAGTTCTGAACAGATTCTCTTAGTTTACACAGACTGAGCCATAACCCAGTGCAGACTAAACAACTCTGCATCGCCAAGGTTTTTTTTTTTTTTTTTCCTGGCATCAGATGGAAATGAGGCTTCACGCGCTAAGCTGACTTCAGTTGTGGAAAAGTTTTTCAAAAATTACATGTTCGCACAAGGGGCCTCTGTGACTCTGGCTACGCCTGTTTTCTTTTTGTTGTTATTTATGGAACTGCCGGTAAGTGTTCACAGAACCACAGTGTTCCCTGAGAGAGGTTTAGAAACCACTGTCCTAAATGGACTTCCTTCTACGGTCTAGTTTTTTTGCTCCGTTCACACATCTTCCATCCACTGACCTCCAAAGAATGACTTTTTAAATCTATGTCTCTTTCTACGTCCTGTCACTGCAGCTTCGTAGCTTTAACGGGCTGGAGGCTCCCTTTCTCTACATAAGTAGTTACGTGTAAAGTTTACACTAAGTGTAAAAGTTTCTTCTCCAGAAGGACACAGCTCTTCTGACGAAGGCAGTGGGATGAGCAAGCATTCAGGCCCACAATATCAGCAGGCAGCCTGAAGAGAAGCACGAGGAACGTCCTTCCAACCGCTACCACCCCAGCAGTGAAGGCGTTCCCACTCACAGAGCGGCCTCACAGCTCCGCTGAGCTACCACCCGCTGTTCTGAGGCGTCCTGAGGGCCTGAGCAGTGAAGGCATTTCCTCCAGTTCCGACTCTTCAGGGAAGAAGCTGCACATCAACGATGCGTCTCGGCACCGTCACTCCACAATGAGCACAAGTTCCACAAGTTCAGGTGGACTACGGACATCTCAGCGCCCTCGTGAACCTGGGCAGGAAGCCAGCGGAGACCAGTGGCTCTGATGTCAATCACGAGCACAGTACAAACAGCCAGCATACGGACATTCGTCATGCTGGAATCACTGCCAAGTGCCCAGGGAATGAACGTGTACTCATTTCTTTAGGTCATTTCTTCCTTTCCTTTTTTAATTCAAAGATTGTTAGAATGGAAAACTTCCTCCTGACCTGGAAATTTCTGTGATCATCCTTCTACTCCAGTTCCTCTGGTTTTTAAGGCTTTTACCAATCAGACAGCTATATGTGAACTAGAAGAGGAGAGCTGGGGAGAAAGTATAAAATATCAGACAACTTCCATGGACAATAAACTACTTCTTAACCTCCTCTGCGTGCTTCCCAGCTGGCACAGTGGTAAAAGAATCCACACTGCCAATGCAGGAGATGCAAGAGATACAGGTTCAATCCCTGGGTTTGGAAGATCCCCTGGAGGAGGAAATGGACATGTACTCCAGTATTCTTGCCTGGAAAATCCCACGGACAGAGGAGCCTGGTGGGCTACAGTCCATGGAGTTGCAAAGAGTCACACACGACTGAGCACGCACACACATGCACATAACCTCCTTTGTGAAGAAGAAAAGACATACAGGGCAGGCAGCGCTGCCACCTGTGGTTCTAACTGCAGCTTTCATCTTGTGCAGTGAAGGTAAATGGTCACAGAGGCTCCTAGTATCTGGTTTTTGCCATGTTAGCACAGAAAGCATACAGCAAGTTCCAGAGGCCGACTGCCTCAGTAACTTCCAAGAATT